TAAGAAAAAAATTTTAGATTACTTATAAACCAAAAATATATAATTTTAAAAATAATTTTTTAAAAAAAATATTTTAGATTTACAAGGTCAGTATGCTTTATTACAATCATTGTACAATATACTCTTTGATGAAGACAATATTGCTACAAGCAACTATTTAACAACTTTAATCTGTTATTAAAAGATATTATAATTAAATAGTTCATCAATTTAATGAGTTAGTCTTTGAAGTTGAAAATAATAATAATAATTTTTGTGTTATAAATCTGATTTTATTAATCTGTATCTGTTAACAATTTTCAGAATACCAGTTTCTTTGTGTATATATATATACTACTATCCTTAAGACACACTAGCAACCTTCAAAATTCATTCATATTTCTTACTATATTAATACTTTTCAAAGTATTTATAAAGAGTTAGTACAGCTAGTTGATATAGAAACATGGGTTCTTGATAATAAAACTTTGTTGCTACCTACAATTAAACAAGCAGAATGGTTATAAAAAACTCAGTTGTATAGTCATAGAGAAACAATACCAGAAAATTAGATTGTTTATAGAAAATATAATAAAAAAGATCATACATGTGTGAGCAGGTATGTTATCTTGTTGAAAGATGCCTTGCCTGTTAGAAACCAATTGATATACAGCAGGAATTGCATGTCTTCTTAAAAGATTAACATAAGCTTCACCATTCATCCTATCACAGATAGGAATTATTGATCCTAGCCCATATCAAGAAAAACATCACCAAAACATACGACCAGGACTGTGTTTTATTGTAGGAACAAGACATGATTCATCAAACTCTTCAGTCAAGGTATGCCAAACCTGTGTATTGTGATTTTGTGAAAATTGTTTTAAAACCGATTCATCTGACCAGACCACATTTTGCTATTGATGAGTTGACCAGTTTAGATGATCTTTTGCCCAGACTTGCTGTTTTACCTTATTGCTTGCAGAAATTAATGGCTTGTGATATGCAACACATGAGCGAAGACCACATTTTCTTAAAGCACAATGGAGTATTGAAACAAAAACCTTCTGATTTTTTCTCTTTGCTATAAAGCTTGAATTTCACGAATAGTTAGATGACAATGCATAGAATCTCATGTAACAATTTGTTTGAGTTCTTCCAATGCAGCTTCATCAAAGATGGGTTTTGACCTGGACGTTTTTTTGGCACCGTAGAACCTGTTTCAGCATACCGTTTTAGAGTATCATGTACAGTGGTTTTACTATACTCGATATTTTTAGCAATAGTTGATAATAAATCTTTACGCCCACGACTATAAAGAATTCCTCCATGCTGAAAGTTAGATAATTTCTTTTTTTTTTGCCATTGCGAGATGATAAAAATAATAATCAAACTTTCTAGTTTCTTTTTATAATAATAATTTCTTTGAATTTATATCATAATTATGAAATAATTATATCATAGTACAGTAAGTCAAAACTCTATTAGACTACTATGATTTATTAAACTTCGCTACGATAAGCTAATTTCTATAAGAATCTAACAAAAATTATAGTAGTTAAAATAATTAATAAATTCATTTAATAGACTCTAGAATTATTTGTATCATTAATTGATTTATTGTGTAATTCTAAAAGACCGATTCCTGAAATGACATAATACTAGGGATGGGACACTGTGCAGGTGAAAGATTTTGGAAGTTGGAATATTTTG